CTCATCACTTTCCTAAAACAAAACAAGAAAGCGAGTCAGAGTACAAACAGAGGTGGTTCATTTTCTTTGAGTTGTTTCAGTCCAACATGTGACATGTATGCAGGTGTATTGAATGAACACCAACATAGACATGAGGGAAACAAATAAAATGTTTTATCAAGTGCTATACAAAAATAAGGACAATTGTTGCTCTGAATTAATGTAACTTGTTTTCCCTTAAAAAAATAATACCTTTAAGATTACGTTGAATTAAAAAAAGACTAAACAACCATCAGAGGTGGAGGAAGTACTCAGATCTTGTACTTGAGTAAAAGTAGAAGTACTCAGATCTTGTACTTGAGTAAAAGTAGAAGTACTCAGATCTTGTACTTGAGTAAAAGTAGAAGTACTCAGATCTTGTACTTGAGTAAAAGTAGAAGTACCAGAGTGTAGGAATACTCTTTTACAAGTACAAATCCTGCATTCAAAAATGTTACTCAAGTAAACGTAAAAAAGTATTAGCATCAAAATATACTTAAAGTACTAAAAGTAGAAGTATTCATTATGCAGATTATAATAACACAGCTAGTTTGAATGACTTTGTATACTTTGTGAATTTACTCCAGGTGGAACTAAAGTCTGATTTAAGACGTGATTATATTTCACATCATTCATCCACATCTGTAAAGTAACTAAAGGTATTAAATACATGTAGTGGAGTCAAAGTACACCATTTCCCTCTGAATTGTAGTGGGGTATAAGTACAACAACAAATTGAAACACTCAAGTAAAGTACAAGTACCTCAACATTTTACTTAAGTACAGAACTTGAGTAAATGTACTTAGTTACTTTCCAACATCTGTCCAAACCCCATTTAAAAACAGTGAATTTAGTGCCAACTCAGGGTGATTAAGGTTACATAGAATAACAAACAATGAAGACTTTAACAATTATATTGCGTTACATTTCGGTATAAAAATAGTCTAATATAAAGTGCTTTAAATCAGCAAATCCCAACGTTTAAAAATGAACCGTTAAGAGTTTAGCTAACGTTAGTAACTGTTGACGGGATGTTTAGTACCCTTTGCTGCAAATACATCACTATAATAATAGTTTCTGTATACCTACTGAATTAGCTAAAGTTCTTTTTCTTTTAATCTGATCCACAAACATTAAAATACATTTATAATTGAGCAGAATTCAAATAATTTTTAACGGTTTTGGTTTGTTTTGACGGCGTTGTTAGATAAATTGTGTCGGTTTTCGGATTAAAAACTACAATTCCCGTTAAAACACTACTTTAGAAGAAGTGTGTACATACATACATACCTTTCGTGATGACTTGCGAACAATTCTGACGATTAAAAACGTTGAAAATATAGTTAATTCACTCAAAACGTTACGAATATTCTGGATGTTTACACTGTCAAAGTTCCCTCCACTGACGTTAAAGCTTCTTCTTCGGCTGTGTCACCACATTGATAATCTGACTCTTTACTCTCTGACGCTTTACTGCCCCCCCGAGGACACCAGCGGTACTACAAGTAGGAATAATGATTACAAATCTAATAATATTCGTTAAAATATATAAAACAAATTATAATATATACAACAAAAATAGCGTATTGTTTTGGTATCCTTGGGACACTGTGTTGGTGGTACATTAAAATGTAATTAATCAGTAACAGGCAGAAATAAACAACATATATGAATAGAATAGGGAGGGATGAAACCCTCTTTAATGGTCACACATGCAGAGCACACAGCACACAGCACACACAGTGAAATTTGGCCTCTGCTTTTAACCCATCCTAGTACAAGGAGTCTAGTACTAGGAGCAGTGGGCAGCTATTGTACAGCGCCCGGGGAGCAATGGGAGTGGGGGGGGGGAAGGGGGGTGTCCGGTGCCTTGCTCAAGGGCACTACGGCAGGGCAGGAGGTGAACTGGGACCTCTCCAAGTAGAAGTCCACACTCCATATTTTAGGTCTGGTCGGGGACTTGAACCAGCGACCCTACGGCTCCCAGTCCAAGCCCCTACTGACTGAGCCCCTGCCGGACTATGAATCTTCATTATCATTCTTGTCTGGTAAATTTGGTGAAAAGTTTTGAAAAAGTCTTTGCATTCATAATATATGTTATTCCTGGATACAACCCAACATTGAAGAATATTTGAAGCACATTAAATTGGTTTTAAAGGTTTACACAACTCTCTTTCGCCATCTTGTGGACATTTTGAGTCATATAGCTCACATTTCTTTGACAGACCAACACATCAAATATATACATGTGTCATACGTGTCCTTTATTTCTTCCTATCTTCTGTTATTCTTCACAATCTTTCTCTCTCTTTTTTCAAGTGTTTCCCCTCCCTTTCATATCGGACACACATGACTATATTCTTTTTAATTTGGCCTCAAATTGTGCATAGTGTTGCAACAGCTATGCAGTCTGGAGGAGTTTCTCACATGCACTTTTTATTTGATTACTTGAGGACCCTCATCGACGTAAATGGACTCAAGACTAACTTTATTGTGGTTGCACACAAAGTAGGTGCCTGTTAAAACAAATTGCTATTTAGAATCTAACAGAAAACACTCTTAAAGTAAACATTTGTCCAGAGAAAGGTAAAATGTATGAGAACACAAACACGCACGCACGCACGCACGCACGCACACACACACACACACACACACACACACACACACACACACACACACACACACACACACACACACACACACCCTCTCAGGGGAGTGTTTGAAGGGGGACAGAAAGACAGAGAGAACAAGGTGGAAAATCAATACATGGCCTGGAGTAGTTAGCGGTAATAGCTAAAGTCTGAAAGGGGTGGATACACACACACCACACACACACACACACACACACACACACACAGAAGCAAAGACAAATAAATATAGATAGAGTGAGAGATATGATATGACTCTTAATTATATATCATTATGTCCACAGTGCTTAGAAATCAAATAAGGCCTCTTTTCTGTGTGTGTGTGTGTGTGCATGTGTGTGTGTGTGTGTGTGTGTGTGTGTGTGTGTGTGTGTGTGTGTGTGTGTGTGTGTGTGTGTGTGTGAGGAGACATCAAGAAGCTGCGACCCTCAGCGAGGCTTTTTAATCTCCTCTTAATCAGTCAACAGCAAACGTTTTACAAAATCAATGAAGTTCCTTGAAACAAAGACGGATGATTTTTTAAACCCGCTTGTTTTCAGACAGAGTTTGCGACCCCAAAGTTAAGTGAGTCCCTGCTGCTGCCGGGCTGTGACATGACGAGAGTTTACAAATGTTTCAAGCGAGTGTGTGTGTGACAGGGTGAGGGACTTCATTATTTAAGAGTGTGTGTGTGAGTTTGCAAACCGAGTCAAACTGAGTTATTTTCACAGCAGCGCTCCTCTGCCTCCCTCCTGAACTATCTGCAGCTGCTTCCTCTCCAACATTCAATCAGTTTCTCAGCTGGAGTTTGAGTTTGTCACACTGAGGAACCAGGAATGTATTTATTTCCTCCTGTCCCTCTCCCACTGATTCAAAAATGCATGATTTTTGTATCAGATTTATACTATTTTGTCCATTTGTGGGTTGATTTTATGTTCATTGACACAAGTGCTGCACTGAAGTATTTGTAAGTATTTTCTGTTTTGGTTCCCAACTGGAATCATGGTTACCGAAAAACACTGAAAGCATTACAGTTTGGAACACTAAGTATTGGGTATAAGGTTAAAAGGTATAGTAAATACAGTCTATGGTGTAAAGGTATATATTGCTCAGTGTCAGATGCAGCTGCAGGCGGTCGTCACCTGTTAGCTGCAGACAAATTGAGCTGTCAAAGCTCTTTCTTCAGTGTTTTGAACATTGTTCTCTGAGGCAAAGCGTGGGTGGAAACTAAATGGGAGAAGTTGGTGGAAAATGTGCAAAAAGAACAAAGCCATAAATAGTTTATTGCCAGTAAAAAGTCTTAATAGATTCACTTTCAGGAAAGGGTGAAGGTCATTCCTGGAGATAATGATGTGATGGGATGGACACGACACAGTATGGAAGTCAATCATACTTCTGCAGTATTTCATTTTTACTAGCTTTTCTTTTGCACTGATTGATTATTATACCAATCATTTTCTGGATTAATAGTTCTGTCTATGTCAGGACATCCTAAATGTCTTCTTCTGTCAGTCCAAACCCAAAGATATTCAGTTTAATAAGACAGAAAAATACTATTCATATTAAAGACTATGATACTGGCATTTACTGCCATTTTAGCATCACTTTCCTGGAGTGTGTTATATTGGTTTTTCGTGCATGTAAATGGCCTGCAAAGGCTCAAATCCCAAATAAATGATTCCCCCTTTCTCCCTTAGCATTTTCCTTTCAGCCTCCGTCATTATTCTGCAGGAGACACTCACAAAAATATGCAGAAATTATAGAAAAGTGAGTGTTCAACATTGCTGTACAAAGACTCAGTCATGTATTAGTTAAACATCTTTATTGACAGACTGTACAAATGTGTGTGTGTGTGTGTGTGTGGTGTGTGTGTGTGTGTGTGTGTGTGTGTGTGTGTGTGTGTGTGTGTGTGTGTGTGTGTGTGTGTGTGTGTGTGTGTGTGTGTGTGTGTGTGTGTGTGTGTGTGTGTGTGTGTGTGCATGTGTTTTATGACTGAATATTAGCTCTGAACCCCGGTGGGTTTGTCTGAGTGTTCATCTCAACTAATTTGTGTTTTACTGCTCACTAATGGACTATTATGAAA